CAACGTAACTCAACAAAATTGGTTATATGGTTTTCCATTTTAATGTAAATTAAGCAGCAAAATGAAAGGTCAGGAAGAGACCAAAGTGAAGTATCCTGACAGCAAAGGAAAGAACAGAAAAACTATAAAAATTACCCATAGAAATATAAAAACTAATGGATCATATAGTCAGTACTCCACCCTTTGCTGCGCAACAGTACTTGACACGCATAATGATGACCCCATTATGGAAAAAAATGATTGTTAGAGTCACTACAGTCTAGAAGATAGAGAAATAACTTTTTATGTCTCAAAGGGTAAATTTCAGTTTCCTAGTATATTAACTCCTCTCTGGTAACTCTGAATGGTAACAATTGTTTCCAAAGTGTTAGTGAGAAGATTCCAAGATGTTAAATAGAGTCTTCATTTTGTGGATATGATTTTTCTGTTGCTTTAAACTAAATTCAAGCCAGTATACAAAGACTGTCAATCTTAACTTACACAGGTACCCAAGTACATTTTAAATTTTAAAAACCTCTCATATATGACTTTGGACAACACAAGCGGATTGAGAAATGTAAAGACCGACAAGCAACTATAAGGTGTTACTGAATATTCTCAATATCTAAAAACTTTTTTTTTTTAAAGACTTTTAACACACCTTGTAATAAAAGAGAATAAATTACGAACAAAATGGAGGAAAAACTGTAATATTTTTAATCTGCTGCACTCATCTCTTAAATAGTTACACATGTGAAAAAGAAACAATTCAGACAAACACAGAGAAAGCTGGTTGAGTAATGTGCCATAAAAGCATTCCTATCAAACATCCTACCTGGGTCCACCGTTTCAACATGAAGATGTTTGCTTTTTTTAAGATAGCCTTCTATTATTTTATATAATTCTCTTCTTGAAAAAAGAAAGGTTGCATTCAGAGAACACATCCTGGTTTGTTTGTTTTGTTTTTAAAAACAAGAGAAAATTGTTCCACCACTTATCTTGAACAGGCTGACTAGGAAACATTTAATATCCTTTTATCATTTTAGAGGCCTTTAAACGTGAGCCTTTCCACTCAGAACACTGTGACAACATGAAAAAACACACTGGCTACATTTCGCAACATGTAAAAAGAAATATAAGAATATATGAAAGCTACAGTTAATTCCAAGTAAAGATTTTTTTTTACTTGGAATTAACTGTAGCTTTCACATATTCTTCCAGGAGCAAAGCAGTGTCTGCCTAAAACTCAAGAAAAACACTACTTGTTTACTTACAGAACACGCTAAAGATGTAGCGTGAACTCATAATAAAAGTTCACATAACAATCTAATAGAAACAAACACAACGTGAATAATTCCAAGTAAAATTTCACTGTACTAGGGAGATAGTTGTATTTAAAATGTTCTTCCTTACCTGGATGCTCTTCAGAATAAATTCACTTTTCTCTCTGACATCTTTAAAGGGACACCTCTTAGAAAGCATAAGCAGATGAGCAAGCAGCTTATTCAACCCATCCGAGGACTCAATATTTGAAAGCCTATCTGATGGACGAAGAGGTGTTTCTTTCAACGAACGAAGATACTCGGTTTTTCTCAAAATGGTTTGCCTAATGTTTTCCAGTGCTGTCTCTCTAGTAGTTGAATCTCTGCTGCACAGTCCATCCCATCTCACTTCATTCTCTCCTTCAGCCATGACAATAGTTTTTCCTTTGCGGTCTTCAGTTACCTTTCAGCATGCCCCAAAAAATCACTTTGTATTTTTAAAATAAAAATGTAAAAATAAAATCAGAGAAATCAAATCGTCATAAAAACACACATCTGGGTGACATTTCGAAACACTGGTGCCTTCAGCCAATCTACAAGCTAGATCACCCTCTCAACCTCTCCTTCTACACGAAAGGGCAGTCTTCTTTCTGGAAAAACAAAGTTGGAAAGTTGCAACCTTGCAGCGCTGGCTTTTCTGGACTGAGTCTCGGCGAAGAGTTCTCCTCTGTCTCGCGGGGTCAGCGGATATTCTCACGTTGTGGAGCTGTCAAATCCGTGCTCTGCCCCAAAAGGCTGGTAACAGTTGAACGCCCTCCAGCCATTCGGGGCGTTTTCGTCTGAGCGGCCACCTGGTTCTCCCGAGCGTTCCCACCCCGCCCCTCCTCCGACACCAGTGCCCGCCCTCCGCGGCTCCTCCCTGCGCCTCAGCAGCCGGCCGGGCGCCGGCAGGGAACGTTCGCTGAACCCTGGCCCACTGGTCGCAGCAGCCGGAGGCTTGGGCGCTCCTTGGGGGCGCGGCAGTCTTTGGCAGCCGCTGTCTCGGCGGGCGGCGGTGAAAAAAAGCGTCCCTAGCTCTGCCAACTCCGGACCCCCGGGAAGACGCCACGTCTCCAGTCCCTGCGCCCTCGCCCACCACCGCCGAGCCAGAGGGCACTGGGTGGGCCGGGCAATTCTCGAGCGCCGGGCTGGGCCGAGGAGCTGGCGGGGCGACGGGGCCCGAGGCGCAAAGCCCGCCCTTCGCCCAGCCCCGTCGGTGGGGATCAGCCCAGAGGGCGGGAGCAGGGAGGGGAGACGGGGTCCTCACCCCCAACCCCTCCCCTTTCTCCGCCCGGCACAAACGCGGAGCCGCCCCGGCCCCAGCGCCTTCTTCCCCGCCCAAGCAGAAGCGACCCGCCGAGGCAAAGCCATTGGAAAAAGCCCCGCCCTCTGGCAAGCTACCTCCAGACCCCAAGTGCTCGGCGCGCGGCAGCCAACCGCTCCCGGCCGCTACGCATGCGTGACTGCGAACGGGGCGCATGCGTCTCCGGAGGCGCTAAGCTTGCGCCCTGGGGCGGTTTCAGTTGGCGGACCTTTGGAGTCTGTCCTGGGGAAGGAAAAAGTAAGGCGTACGAATACACTGAGACTTCGTCACACACAAGACAAGCACGACAAAGAAAGAGGGCGCGGAGGGACTCTTGAAAAATATTGAGTCTACATTTAAGATCAGCCTAAAAATAGTGACGGCCTCTTTATTACTCTAAATACCAGATTTAAGTCGTTAGGACGACTTCGCATTGACTTGTGGGAAGTGTAGTTTTAATGCTGCCGGCGCGTTTTGTTTACGACAGAAACTACAACCCCCAGGGGCCACCGCGACGTTGCCTGAGACTGCCCGCGAACCCACGGTTAGCGGTGGCGGGGGCTCATTGAGAGCGTCGGCTTGGTAAGCACCATAGGCTGGATTGTCACCTTTCCTCTGACAGGATTTTTCCCTCCTCCATTTCCTCTGGGATTTTGGAAACGAAGCCATCTAGGGTGAGCTCCCTTAGTCTAGGGATTTTTTCCAGTGACTTGCGTGGGAAAGACTAGTCCAGATGCCCAAGCCCGGGGTGTGGTGGGTGAGGCAAGGATTTGGGCATCCTGATGTCGAAGGTCGCAGGGAGCGGCGTAAGTAAGGCCAAGAAGGAAGGATGCTGTGGAAACTGGCGTTTTGCGCTGCTGCCTCTGCTTCCGCCCTTTCCTGTGGACACGCGCGAGGTGGATTAGGGACCTCTGCGCATTTGCACCTTTGTTTGCCTTTGCTTAGGGATGTTCTGGGCCTTTTTTTCTCAGTCAAATGAAATCCCAGGCAGGGCTTTGAAAGCAAGTTGTCAAATCCGTCTTGTACGAGACTAAAGGGAAAAGAATCCCCAGTCTTCCTAGATAACAGTTCTTGCAGGCTTTAAGGATACCTTATGAAAAGGAAAGCAAAACCGTAAAAGTCTCCAAAACTTAGTCTTTTCAAAAGATTCAATCATTTGTTTAAAATTACTGCTTGCTTTTAAAAAGTCATTACTTCCTGTAATCCCAGCACTTTGGGAGGCCGAGGCGGGTGGATCACGAGGTCAAGAGATCGAGACCATCCTGGTCAACATGGTGAAACCCCGTCTCTACTAAAAATACAAAAAATCAGCTGGGCATGGTGGTGCGTGCCTGTAATCCCAGCTACTCAGGAGGCTGAGGCAGGAGAATTGCCTGAACCCAGGAGGCGGAGGTTGCGGTGAGCCGAGATCGCGCCATTGCACTCCAGCCTGGGTAACAAGAGTGAAACTCCGTCTCAAAAAAAAAAAAAAAAGTCATTACTTGAGAAAAGTCGAGGTTTGAACAGCCGTCAATGGACTGATAATAAGTGTAGATTTTAATTCTTCACATTGCAGAATTGCGTTGCACTAAATTCTAAAAATTTCATCTAGCTAGGTGCTGAGTATACAATGAAAAAAAGAAACCAGTGGTTAGACATACAGTTAAAATACTGTGTGATATCACTGGATGACTAGAAGGAGATCGCTTAGCCCGGTCTTGGAGAGTCAGGGAAATCTTCATCCCAGTGGAAATGAAGACCAAAAGAACAGCATATGCTAAGGCCCGGAGTGAGAGATAGGGTACTTTCAGGAAACGTCAGTAAGCCAAATCATATATACTTGGCAGTTGGGGAAAGGGAAGGGTGCTTTTTGTGTATTAATGTACTTTGAAGCTACAAAGAAACAGGTATTGTGAATTATTTACATCGTTTCTGTAAGTGAGCTATTTTGAATAGATGCATAGTTTTGATGAATTGGTCTAATTTCAAAAACCTTGTTACATTCTAACACTTATAGTTTAAATCCGAACTTTAAAAAGGGAATAACTTATTAGTGTGATTTGAAAAAACAAAACCATTGCATTTTCATCTCCTTTTTGGGATCATCATCCTCTATCCAGCCCATAGAGAGTAGGGTTGTTTCTTAAGGCTGGGTGCCTTTTTATGCCTTAGTTAAATATAATCTCATGTATACCCTGTGTCAACACCTATGACTGTCACATGAATAGCTCCATTCAGCTTCACCTTCACCTCTCAGCTTTCACATATCTATCTCTTGGATATTTCTTCTTGGATGTCTCAAAAGCATCTCACACTCAACATACCTAAAATCAAATGCAGTTATTTCCTGTGAATCTGATTCTTTTCAGTATTCCTTATTTCAGCAAAGGGCACTACTATCCATCTACTTGTGCAAATTTGAAAGCTAAACATTATTCTTTATTTCTTCTTGCCCTTCATACTTCTATGGCCAAATTATTGCCAAGTTCTGTCAATCTTATCTCCCAAAATATCCTTCAAATGTATTTTTCTCTTCACTTTTCTTTAAACTGCCATAATCTCTCAAGACCACTACAGTAGTGATTATTCACACTGGCCCTCCTCCATTAGTTTTCTGTTATAGCTGCCATAATGATTTTTTGAAACTGCAGATCTGATCAGATTTTCTCTTGATTAAAACTATTCAGTGGTGACCCACTGCTCTTAAAATAAAGGCAAAATTCCTTTGTAGAGCGTGACATCAACTGCTGCCCTTTCAGACTCAATATACTGCTCTCCAGATCAGCCATACAGACCATTTTTCAGTCATTGGTTCTCATATTTGCATTTCACCCATGCATTTACTCAACAAATATCTGTTTATTGCCTTTTATGTAACAGGACATTGAGGATACAGCGTTGAGCACAATATATAAAAATTCCTACTGTTATAGAGCTTGCATTCTACTGAGGAAAGATAGTAAATCAATATGCAAAACACTTAGTAAATGAAATGAAGACAAATGCAGTGTAGAAAAAAACAACTGGGAAGGGGAATGGGGAGGGCCAGAATGTGAGGGGCAAGGTTCACTTTTAAATAAGGTGGTTAGAAAAGGCCTAATGCAGAAGGGCACAATTGAGGAAATATGAAGAGGGAGGGAATAAACCATGTAGTTGCCTGGGCAAGTAACATTCTGATGAAGATAAGTGGTGCAAAGACCTTGGGCAGGAGCTTGAGCGCACATGTGAGAAATAGCAAGAAGGCTAGTGTGGCTGGAGCACAATGAGAACAAAGAATGACGTGAGGTGGCAGAAAGGAAGTAATAGTAGGAGAACAGGTAGGTGACCGAAAGGACTAACATTTTTAATTGAGTTGGGAAGGCATTGGAGGCTTTTGCGCTGATGTGGGCATGATCTGACCTTTTAAAAATGACTACCTGCCTTCCTTTCCTTCTTTCTCTCTTTCTCTCTCTTTCTCTTCCTCCCTCCCTCCCTCTCTCCCTTCCTTCCTTCCTTCCTCTCTCCCTCCCTCCCTTCCTTCCTTCCTTCCTTCCTTCCTTCCTTCCTTCCTTCCTTCCTCCTTCCTTCCTTCCTTTCCTCCCTCCCTCCCTCCCTTCCTTCTGACAGAGTTTCACTCTTGTTGCAATGGCATGATCTCAACTCACTGCAACCTTCACCTCCCAGGTTCAAGCAATTCTCTGTCCTCAGCCTCCTCAGTAGCTGGGAGTACTGGTATGCACCACCAACCCTGGCTAATTTTGTATTGTTAGTAGAGACTTAGTTTCACAGTGTCGGTCAGGCTGGTCTCTTAACTCCTGACCTCAAGTGATCCACCCACTTCAGCCTCCCAAAGTGTTAGGAGATTACAGGTGTGAGCTACTGCACCCAGCCTCTTTTTTCCTGAGATAGTCCCTCAGGCCATAGTATAGTCATAGCTTACTGCAGCTTTGAACTCCTGGGCTCAAGCAGTCCTTCCATCAGTCTCCCAGGTAGCTAGGACCGCAGGCATGTGCTAACATGCCCAGTTAATTTTGTAAGTTTTCCTTTTTTTTTTTTTTTTTTAACTGAAATTGCATTAAAAGTGGAGATAATTTTTGTCTTTTTGTAGAGGCAGTCTCACTGTGTTGCTGAGGCTGGTCTTGAACTCCTCAAGTGATCGCCTCAAGTGATCCGCCTGCCTCAGCCTCCCAAAGTGCTGGGATTAGAGGCATAAGCCACTGCACCTGGCCTGAAGTGAATATTTCTTTTAAATTGTATTGAGCATAGACCAGGGGGAAGCAAGGGTAGAAGCAGAGAGATTGGTTAGGAAACTAAAGTAATATACCAGGTGAGAGAATCTGGATACATTTTAATAGTATAGTGAACAGATTCTGCTGACAGATTGTGTGAGACTAAGAGTCAAAAATGACTTCACAGTTTCTAACCTGAACAACTAGAATGGAAAAAGTGGCATTTACTGTCATAGGAAAGTCTTCAGATTTATGTATGGGAGAGAGAGGAAAGATTGGTATTTTAGTTTGGCCATGTTAAGTTGAAGAGGCCTCTAAGACATTCAAGTTGAGAAGTGGAGGTGGAGGAGGCAGTTGGGTAAATGTGTCCAGAAGTGAGGAGAAAGATCTGGCAATAGATATAATTTTGGGTTTTATAGTAGTGTTTTGATCGTAGTTGGTGATATCACCAAAAGATATATTCCATGGAGTTTGGGTGGATTTGAAGTTCTCTGCAAAGGTGACTGCGAAGGAGCAGCCAGTGAACAGAGGAAAACCTACTGTTCAGTAGGTGTCCTACAAGCCAAATGAAGAAAGTGATTAAGGATGAAGGAATGTTAAGTTATGTTAAATGTTGCTCTAGGTCAAATGAGATGAAGATTCATAATTGACTACTACATTTAGTAACGTGGAGGTCATTGGGATCTTGATAAGAAACTTTTGGTGGAGTAAAGGGTACAAAAGCCAGATGGATACTTTTATTTAAGAGAGAATGGGAGACAGTGACTGTGGGTGCAGCACTCTGTTACTGTGTTCTTGTCCAGACTGTTTTAGTCTATCTTTGACCCCTCTTTCTGCAGATCTTTGCTAAATAATCATATTCTTAGAGGTGTCACTGATATAATTAAATACTCTTGTAAATAGACCTATTGCACCACGAACCTTGACTTGCTCTTATGTTACACATTAGTTTTACAACTGTGCCATAATTTGATTAAAGTGTGTTTATTTCAGTAGAGCATAAGCACCAAGAGCAGCTACTATGCTTGTTTTTTTTTCATCATCTTATCTCTACCTCTGAGTGCAGTGCCTGTACCTAGTACAAACTTAATAAATGTGTGATGCAAAGATACAGGAATGAATCAATGGAAGAATGATATAGTGCCACAGATCTTTCAAAGGTATTGCATATTTACCTATCATTTACAAAAACACAAAGTAACTAATGGATGGACAAGGGTACGTTATAATAAAAATATTTTAGGAAATTTATCTTAAAAAAAAGCAAGGCTGGGCATGGTGGCTAACACCTGTAATCCTAGCACTTAGGAGGCCGAGGGGAGCTGATCACTTGAGGTCAGGAATTTGAGACTAGCCTGGCCAACACTGTGAAATCCCATCTCTAGTAAAAATACA